AGTTTATAAAAGAGGATAAGAAGAGAGAGCGTGTGCCACGACGAGGCCCGACCACGAATCAGTTGTAAAAAATTTGTAATATTTTTGCAAAAAATATCACCTCAGCCAGGAATCAAACCTGGATCTCTTGCTTACCGGGCAGGCATCTTATCTTTTCGACTACAGAGGCTAATTTTTTATAAGTCTCATATATATATATATATATATTTATATGAGACTTATAAAAAATTGAATTGATAGAAAAATTCTTAAGCAAAAAACATACCCGAAGCTTTGGGGCAGTACCATAAATTGTCCTATAGCTAGCACTTCCATACCTTGCAATGCCGTGCAATCATTTTTAAGTTCATTGTTTAATGTATTGCCTGGCAAATCTGTAGAATCACATGTGACAACCATGGGATTTGCCAAGGTAGGTCGTGTTAATCTCATTACTATAGAAAATAATTTGAAATGTTATTAATGGATATAGTTGTTATATGGCTACATTTTTCCAATTAGAGATTGTTGCATTAAAAAATTACGTGTCACTAACAGTCTCTAGTCTTTCTGTTCGTTTCTAATTTTAATTTTGGAGTTATCTTTTTATTTTTATCTTTTTATAATTTTTAGAAAAGATTCTAATAAAAAAAATTAAATCGAGATTGTAATTAATTATTAATAGAAATGGACATAAAAGATTGAAAAACAATACACTTCTTGCCGTTTCAAGAAACTATATATGCTATATACCTTTCAAGGCCACCAAATGTTCACTTTTTGTCTTGATTTCCATTTTTTTCAATCAAGTCACGAAAAAAAAATGTTAAACAAATATATTGTTAAAATAAAAATTATTTATATATCGTTGTCAAATTATTGTTGTCACTCCAGAAACTTAACCTCTTTCGTTACATCATATCAAATCCATTTCTCAGCTACGACGCGTCGTATGTATATGTATGCCAGTACACTTAAAATGAGATAGCTATACAAGATGATATATAGATATATATATATATAATCAGATGTTAAGAGAAAAGGAAAAGAGAAGATATAGAGTGAAAGGCATAGCTATAGAGCAAATCTATCGATAAATCAAGAATTAGTCGATCAATCAAAATCTGCTCGATATATAATTAAAACATTTCAAAAGGAATTCATTCTTTATGTTACTTGTTATTTAATAACAATATTATTTTTTGTTACTTATCGTTATATGCAATATTGTTTTTTGTTAAGCTAATTTGACTATTTTGCGTGCGATAATTTAAATTAATTGCGATGTCAAAACTTTGCGATGTTTACAAAAAAAGAGATACATTAGATACAAGTAAGATGAAAAGATTTTTCATTCAATCTTTCTTAAGCGGTATCTATAATGAGACTTTATTGGCTTGATAGATTGCAAAATCCTTTTAGGCCATTAAAATACGCACATAAAGAATATGCGAAACAATCTATTTAACAAGTAAATAAGAAAAAAATTTTTTAAATTCACATAATTTTAGCTCGTACAGTTGTTACATCAGATCTTCATTTCCTTAATACAAAAATTCTATAACTTATATATACAAAATGAGTACGTTCCGCACTTCGGACTAGATGAATAAACAATACTATATTTTTGGATTTATGATTGAAAGCTTAGAAAAAAAAGTTTGAACTTGAACAGATTGTGTACGATTTTACGCGTATATATATATATATAT